TCAAAAAAATATTATGACCATAATAAGAAAAGAAAATCGTTAAACACTGTTTAACTAAGTACCGTTTATCACAAAACTTCATGCTTTACTTGGTGAGAACACAATATTGTACGACTTACTATATTAATTATTACTAATCGGTAATTAGTTCGTTCTGCTTTCAATTATTAAATCGCGCTTTATTTATTTTATTTCAATAAAAAGCTTGTTTTACGAACAACATTCCGATAAAAGTTTACAAAACGAAATCTACACGTTTTTTTAACGCACGATCACGCACGATTAAAAACGCAAACGATTTTGTTTGATACACACACGATCTCGTACGTTACAATAACGATAATTTTTACACGAAATTCTACACGACTGGGTTGTCATTCATTCAATTTCAAATTGTTTTAGAGGCATAATTTGGACATTTTAAAGCCTATGATCATAAAACTTTGTACACGTAAGTTGATGCATCTTGGGTCCTTGAAAATTATCAACTGAAAAGTAGGTCACCATTGCCTACTTTTGAAGTTTTATGGCTATATTTAAATATTTATGGTACTTTTCGGCTAAGAATCATCACAATTTATCAGCTGATGTATTTTGGGTTCTCATAGTAGGTCGATCACCGTGACTTACTTTTAAAATTTTATGGCTGTATTTAAATTTTTAATCACTGTTTGGCTAAAAATCATTTCACAATTTGTCAGATGTCCATTTTGCATCCCTGAAACGACAATTGATAAAAATATTGTCATGATCGTCCATTAGTTTAAAATTTTTGTCTTTAAGTGAATATTTCATGTACTACATGTGGTTGGCTTAGAATCATCAATCTTTGTCAATTCATGCATCTTGCGTCCTTAAAGTATGTCTTCTGAAAAGTAGGTCACTGTGACCTACTGTGGAATCATTTTTATTGTAGAAGGCCCCGGGTCAATGCAATACTTGTGGGTAGCCAAAAATTTCCTGGTTCGTGGGGACGTTATTTTATTATGGCTGTAACATTTCTATTTCGTTTATTTTTTCTTAAAAGTTCATCACAGAAGGGTTTCGTCAATGTTGGTTTTTCAAGTTACTAAAAACGTACGGCGAGCTTGCACCGACATATTACAGCCGTGATGTCACTTAAATTATGAATCATTTTAACAAATAATAAAAACATGTTCGTATATACGTTCTTTGTAAATTCGTGCATCAGGGTTACCCAAAAGCCTTCGAAAATTGTAGGTCACAATGATGATTCTTCAGTACTTTTGAAATTTTAGATTATAGTTTTGAAAATATATTAGGTATCAATTGGCTTAGAACCACCAAACTTAGTTGTTGCATCTTGGGTCCTCTGCAAATGAAAAGTGATAAGTAGGTCACCATGACCTACTCTCAGGTACTAATTAAAATCATCTTGGGTTCTCAGAGTGATTCATCAAAATTGTAGGTCATGATGACCTACCTTTGGAATTTCAATACTATATCTAAATATACATCATACTTAAATGTTTCAAATAGAAGTGGCAGATTATCAGCGATTCAGGGTCCTTGGGCCTCTTCTTGCCTAATTCAATTTTTATACTTTGTCGCTATTCTTCATGCTAAGTAAAAAGAATTAATTACTGCATTTAATAGTAGAAACATATATATTTATAGAAGAATCACAGTAATGCACACACAAAAAACATGACATTATTAGCTTTTCTATGCCAAAGCCTCAAAGAGCCTAGAATGCTATTACCATTTGTGCAGTGTGAGTAATCATTTTTGCTCAAGTGAGCTTTTCTCATCACGTGTTGTCTGTTGTACGTCTGTGTTTCCGTTCGTCTGTAAACTTTTCACATTTTCAATTTCTTCTCAAAGAATCACTGACCTCATTTTTACCAATTCGGTGGATACAAATCATATTTGGGCAAAGGGGAGTTTTATCAAAAATAAAGGTCCCTCCTTACAAGGGCATATAATCAAGAAAAGTAAAAATGAGACCAGGTCATTAAAAATCTTCTCAAAAATCACAGGGCCAGAAAAACTGAAACTTATATAATAGCATCCTGGGGTAGTGTAGATTCTAAATTGTTCAAATCTTGACTCTCTGGACGTAGGGTCGGGCCATAATAGGGAATCAGAGTTTTGCAATGAAATAATAAAAGTAAAATCTTTAATCTTCTTCTTCAGAAAAACTGCACCACAAAAGCTCAAACTTATATAAAAACATCTTTGGGTAGTGTGATTCTAAATTGTTCAAAACGTAACCCCCAGGGTAGGCTGAAACCATCACAGGGAATCCAAGGTTTACATTAAAATATATAGGAAAAATCTTAGAAAATCTTCTCAAAAACCATTGGGTCAGAAAAATTGAAACAGATTTGAAATCATCATTAAGTAGTGTAGTTGTTGAAATCATGATCTCCATGAACTGAAAAATAGGACACCATTACCTACATTTGAAATTGTTTTGCTTTGTAAGTTGATGCATTTTGGGTTCTCATAGTGTGTCAAATGAAAAGTATCTGACATACTTTTCAAAGTTTATCTATATCATTAAATTTGGCATATTTAGATTTAGCACAATCACCATGAGTATTTTTGAGTTGTTGGCGTATATCATGAAATTGCGCTATCACTTTGCAGCTGTATATGGAATTAATATATGTATTTATGATATATGATTTCTTAGTGGTATTCGTGAAATAGCACAACAATATCCACGCCAAAGACGATGAAATATAAAGCCCGCTTTTTAAGTACACACAGTAGGTTACCATGACCTTATTTGAAATTTTACGGTTTGAATTAGTAATTGGCTTTGAATAATCAAACCTTGTTAGTTGATGTATTTTGAATCGTCAGAATATGCCAACTAGAAAGTAGGTCATAGTGAACTACTTTTGGGATTTCAAGGCAATATCTAAATATTTCAAATAATCAGAAACTGAAAATCAACAAATTTTATTAGTTGATGCATTTAAAGGTCTTGGAGTGTCTTGTCTAAAACGTAGGTCACGGTGATCTACTTTTGGGAATTTCATGGATATATCTAGTAATGGGCTCATTCAACTTTGTCAGTTGAAGCATTTTGGGTTCTCAAAGTGTTTTAACCAAAATGTAGGTTATGAAAGCCTACTTTTTAATTTTAAAGTGTTATTTTAATATGCAGCATTACATTGAAGTGAAGTGATATGTTGTAGAATTTATCAAAAGAGTGATTCAATGCTCTTGATCGTCCTGTATTTTATTCTTCATAACAACAGTCAAGGAGAGTTATAAATCTTGAATACAGTAGTTTTCAATTTATTTTGATCAGTTATTCCAGGTATAGTGAAGACACTCTTCTTCTTTTGGCCAACGCTTTTGTGTACATAACGATACCAAATGAACAATAAACATATCCGCAAATTGTTGATTGTTTTTCACAATGTGTTACCAAAACAATGAATGATATTTGACTTTTTAATGTATTATCTACATGTATGAAACAATTATATTGATTATGACTATATATTTTGAGAAATTGACATACCTGAGGGTTGTCCCGTATAATCGTGGACAAGTTGTCTCGCATGAATAATAGTCATCGCTGCGTTCTGAAATTTTCACTACTTCTTAGTACATATTTTCTGAATAAATGTAGCAAATTTCAAATAGATATATAAATAAATAAACGAATTAAGAGATTTAATATTATGAATTGTATCGCCTTACGGCGCAGGATGATCAACGTCAAAGTGCCTAAAATAGGGTCAAGTAAACTCAAAATTTCATCTTTGCACTAAGAATAAAGTTGGATAAGTCCAACTCAATTTCGAAATTTCATTGAAGCACATATTTAAGTCTTCATAAACAATTGAGGAACCAATTTGGCACAAATGTACGACTCCTGATGATTTATTAGTAAGATACGGACAATATTTTTAGCAACATCATTCAACTAATAGACAAATATTGACGCGGTCAACATTGACAGCGTCTTTATAGCCTTTACAATTGTAGTTTTTTTTGTATGTCTTGTGCCATTACTGATCAAGAAAGACTTTACTCAGAAAACTCCCATTTCATTTATATACTAAAGATTTGACAATTTTTGGGCGATTTTGTTCTTTGTATTCATTTAAAGTTTTATACACGTTATTACACCGTTAAATCATAGCGAAGTAAATGATCTTCGGTGCGCCTTAACGTCACCAAACGTCACCATTTTTCGTGTGTTGTGTTTACCACTTTCCCATTTCAGTGAAGTGCATATGTTGAAATTTATCAAAAATTGACCAAATGCATTGAAAATTTTAACCCTAAACAACATTTAAGGAGAGTTTTCTTTCAAATAGTAGTTTTCAATTCTCTTATAAAATCTTTTTTTTGGCCAGGTATAGTGAAGACCTTACCCTTTGCACATTAAAACAATAAAATGAACTATATTTTTGTGTATATTTTATCCAAAACATTTTAATTAACTTAAATATGTTACATAAACATTCATGAAAATTTGAGCTTTTTTTTCCATTATTTTTCGAAAAAAAAAACGCTTTGTCCACGATTTTACGGGACAACCCTCGTATAAACCGATATCAAGTGATTTGTATCATTTGAGCAAGTTGAAATAATAATTGAAAGGCCAGTACGTTCTGGACGTGTACTTCACCTCTGAATCATTATAGGGCCTGGCCACAATAAAGTATTGAATTTATAAAAAGCAAGGCCATAATTTGTAATATTGATAATAAATTCAAATTTGTTAAATATCCAGCTGCACCCTGGGGGTTGGGCAGAACAACAGTAAAAGATTATAAAAAGATCGTGAAAATATAAAAGTCTACTTAAACCCTGATTAGTCAAAGAAATATGGAAACATTCTAAGTTGGTATAGAGGCAACTTAACCCCTTTTCCTTGGAGAGATAGGTTTGGACCACGTGTATATTTAAACTTTTCAGCTCTTCACTAATTTCTGCTGCTTTTTCTCTAATCCAAAATAAAAACTATGGTGAGTGTTGTGGTACATGAACCTTTTGTTTATTTGTAGATGGAGACGCATTTTTGATGTGCCTTCTGCTCTGCCCTTCATACAAAATAAATCTGGAAGCCGACGACTGGATACATAAGTATAATGCTGTTGCCAAAGTTTTCAAATTTAAGAAGATTAAGAAGCCGCCTAATCTTAGCAGCTTAAAGAAGTACAAACCAATACTCAAACACGATAGTGTGATTGTCGAATTTTCCCGTCAATTCTTTAGAGACACCAGCTTTCTTAGATTTGCCAACGATCAAAAATTTGTTAAAATGTTTCTGGATTGGGCAGAAAAAGAAAGCATTGCAAAATACTGCAGATCATCAAATTATCTGAGAAAAGAGACTGAGGAAGAAGTTTGCTGTTGGTTATTGCCAAATCAAACAGAACAGCTGATAGAAAGACTTGGAGAAGACATGTTCACACATGTAACGATGATGGACCAATCAATACATGAATTAGTGTATACCAAGCGTATGTTTCTATTAGTTGCTTTTACATAACATTTAAGGTCTTTTCACCATATTGGTGTAAATGATTTTGAGTTCAGCTTAGCTTAAAGCTTGTTGACTTCTACTTTCACAATATAAAGTTCAGTGTCAGAGCTACAGTCTTGTAAGAAATTTTTTCTTGATTATAGTTGGCATACCAGTACAGATTATAATGAGAGGAGATGAGTCTGTGAGGAATTTCTTGGGCAATCTGAAGAAAGGGGAGACGACCATGTACCACGCCTCTGGGATGATCATTGGGTGTGCAGGTAGTGGGAAGTCAACTCTACTAGAAAGATTGAAAGGCATCGACCTGAAAGAAATTCTGAAGAATTCAACATCGACCAGGGGCATTGACGTACAGTCTGACGTTTTTGATGTGACAGACACCACAGTCCGAGGTATGGCGTGTTAATGATTTCCGGGCATTTGATTTTAATTATTCTCTAGAATTAGTAGAGTTAATCAGGTTTGTATAAAAAGGTATCTAATAAGATTCTTGTCAACAACAGAATAGTAATAATTAGTCTTATTAATTTGAAAGCATCCTAATAGTATTAAATCAAGCCATGATCGGTAAAATAACTGCTCAAGGTAGTGTAGATTCAAGGTTGTTCAAAACTTACCCCTGCCTCTCCTGGGACCATATATTTAAACTTTTCATGCTGAACAGATTTCTGCTTTTCTTCAACCAAAGTACTTACATAGTGATGCAGCTCATGTGCCTCTGGTATTTGTTGCTATATCAAATTTCAGTTTTGTAACTCAACAATACCAGGGTGTAGTGTTCACTGCTTTTTAGCATTTCAATGGTACACGATTATACAATATATAGTAAATGAAAAATACAAGATACCCCCTTTCCATATAATATAAGCTACTCTGTATCCTGGCTTAAGCGAAAAAAATAACATAAAATGCATTTTTTTATCAGAGAGTTAAAAAAAATGATTTTACTTGAATAAATTGAAAAATTCTTATGATGCTTTTTTTTCTTTTGCAGTAAACACGTCAAACGAAAAACAACGCTTTAAAGTTAAAATTGATGAATCAAGCGAACAAAAGACTTTTTCAAATCAGCATGCAAAATTATCTGGTGACTTGTTAAGGTTAGACATCAAAGAGACAGTGGATCAGATGGATGTAGCCAGTATAGCAAACGAACAAGAATCGGTCAGTGATGAAGAAATTACACATAAGAGCTTGGATTCAGATTCTGAATCACTTAAAGGGAATGAAGCTGCTGCCTTTGTGGAAAAAGAGAAGGAAATGGTTGAAGACAGCAGACAAGAGAAATCAGAAATATCAGGAATTTTACGAGTGTCCAAGAATGTTTTGGATGATCCAGAGAAAAAAATTACCATGGTGGACTTTGCGGGACAGTGTTCATATTATGCATCACACCAAATATTTCTGAGTCCACGGGCATTCTTCATTCTGGTGCTGAATATGGAAAAGAAATTTGATGAGAAGGTTGGAAAAGAAGTCTGTAGCCAGGAAGGTTCCGTTTACGAAGGCTGGACACACAAAGGTATGTTTTAGTTACATTATTAGTTGTGTAGTATGTATTGAATCAAATGATATACTACAAGATACTAGTATGTTGAATTTCTTTGATAAGTTTTTTCACACATTTCGATGCAGAGTTTAGTTTATCTCAAGAAATGCACAATATGTTTTTATTTCCAGGATTGTAGAACAATTTTGAACTAGTGTCCCTAAAATTATTGAGCTGTGCTTGACCATTTATGTCCTTTGCTGTTGCTATGCAAAAAAAAATGTTAACAAACTACTATTCCCCCTCGCTTTAATACAAATGTTTTCAATCAAGTGGCTAGGGCTTACACTACTTAAAGTATATAGTTTTAGATTGTCACTTTTTTATCCTTTTTATTTCACCTGAGCCGAAGCTCGAGTTTTTTTTTATCACATTTTGTCCGGTGTTCGTCTCTCTGTCTGTAAACCTTTCACAATTTCTACTTCTACTCAGGAACCACTGCGCCAATTTAAACAAATTCAAAGTCTTTCAAAATCCTCTCTAGAAAAGCAACCCCATGAATGGTCACATTTATATGAAACTTCTGTAAATTCAAGTTAATTCTAAAATGACCCACAGGGGTAGGATAGGGCTACAGTGAAAATCCAAACTTGTACGGTTAGAAATTTATATGAAACTTCCGTAAAAAAAAAAAAAATTCAAAAAATTATGTAAACACCCTTAGTGTAAATTCAATTTTGTTCAAATAACAATTTCTTCTCCCTCAATGGGATAGGTTTTTACCATTTATGCATTTAAGCTTTTCTTTACTAAACTGATTTTTCCTATTATTCTAAGCTTTTGCTCAGGGGGGCGATGTGACCCTGGGGTCAATGCTAACTTTGATGATGTCGGCCTGTAAGATTGAGGTTATTATTGTAGTCTTTCGCGATTGATAATGTAGAGTCTGAAAAAGGACACATATTCATATTTTAAGGAATTGTTGCTCAATACCTGAGGTTTCCTAAACTTCAAAGATAATTTCAACTTAAAGAATTTTTTCAGAACGTTGAATAATTTCATCTAAAAGATTAAGGCCCCGGGAAAATGCAGTTTTAGTGATATGACTCAATTAAATTCAAAGCTGAATTGATGTACGTTGTCTTTCTTTTTGAGGTGATTAAACACATGAACTTAATAAAGGCTACCGGAAGTTTAATGTAAGCTTGCAGGGCCCTGTATAATGTACACTGAATAATATAGTAATCAAATAATTGTTGATTTTATTTTATTCAGACTATTTAACGTTCTGGGCCAAGTCCATTCATCAATACAGCAGTGAAAAGGCTCCTGTTATACTGGTGGGCACTCATGCTGAACAGAAGACAAAGGAGGTATTTGATATTAATTTCTGCAAAAGATTTTTAGCTCTTAGCCGAAGGAGCAAGTTAGCTTTTTGATCAAAAAATTTTTTCGTTGTCTGTCGTCGTCGTAAGTGTTGTGTAGTCTTCGTCTTTGAAAATTTTTCACATTTTCATTATCTTCTCAAGAACTGCTGGAATTATGAAGGACCATGCCCTTTTCTAAGGGAAGATAAATGGGAATAAATAAACAATTAATGGCATCATTTAAAATCAATCTCAAGAACGATTTGGCGAGGAACGATAAATCTAAATATAAAATATTTATAAAATAACCACTTGGCAAGGGAAAATGAAACCCATGTGGAATCATTTTCTCTTCATGAAGATTCAAATATGTTCAAATCATGACCCCCCCCCCCCGGAGGTAGGTTGGGGCCAATATGAGGTATTAAAATTTAACATACGAGGGTTGTCCCGTAAAATCGTGTACAAAGCGTTTTTCTTGAAAAGTATCAGGCGCACTAAGCTGAAATTTTCAGTAAATATAATTTATTCATCATATTTAAGTGTACTATTATGTTTTTGATAATATATAGACAAAAATAAAGATTTTATTGTGCTTGATTGTGCACAGAGTACGGTCCAACGGCGCACGGTAAAAATAATAAGGTTATATTAGAGAATACGCAAGAATTAATTCGTAATAAAAGTTTTCAATACATAAAATTAGGCTAAAAATTATGAGAATGCGATTCCTTAATCAATTTTGTCGTCTTTATAAAAATTTAAAAGCATTTGCTTAATTTTTTGCAGTTTCCCGAGCATTCGAAATGGGAAAGTGGTAAACACAATGCACGAAAAATTGCGATTATTGATGATGTTACGGCGCACCTAAGAACAGTTAGGTAGATTATGATGTTGTACTGACACCTTAGGAGACTTTAAATGAATACAGAAGAAAGAAAATATGCCAAAAATCACAAGATCTTTAGTATATGAATGAAATGGAGGCTTATGTTAACAAAGTCTTATTGACTGAGTCCCCAGGTAGTGCAAGCTATGCGGACAAACCGCTATTGTACATATGTAATAGCAAAAGACGCTGTAACTGTCGACCGCTAATAGAGAAACACCGACATCTTACGAACGAACGTAACTCTCCCTAACTTCCCGTATCTCAATAGTTTTCTCGGGACCAGTGATTGTACCCATTAAAAGTTTAAAATCGGAAGAAATAAGTATATGTGTAAAATAGAACGGATAATATTTTAACCACTTTGTATTTGAAAATTGCGCATGTCAATTTTTTTGTAATGACACAATGTTTTAAAAAAGTGAACAAATAGAAGAAAATACACCATAATACTTTAGACGGATTAGGAAATACGTTTGTTATGCGTCAGTGATTAAACGCACAGACACCAAACGTATACAAACTATTCATAGTGTGCGCCTTGTTCATATGGGGGAAAGGTTACTTTTTAAAGCTTGGAAAAAGAAATAAATCCGTGCAATCAATAAATAGGTAGTGCGCTTTATAAAGATTATGATTGTATACTGTTTAACGTCCCTCTCCAGAATATTTCACTGATATGGAGACGTCACCATTGCCAGTGAAGGGCTGCAAATTTAGGCCTATTCTCGGCACTTACGGCCTTTGAGCAGGGAGGGATCTTTATCGTGCCACACCTGCTGTGGCACGGGGCCTCGGTTTATGCGGTCTCATCCGAAGGACCGCCCCATTTAGTCGCCTTTTACGACAAGCAAGGGGGTACTGAGGTCCTATTCTAACCCGGATCCCCATGGGGGAGCTTTATAAAGAGAATTGTGTTGAGAGCGAGAGATATTCTTTTTTAAATTTATTAAAATTTAACTTCAAAGAAAAAGAACGAGCATTCATGGTACATGTAGACAGTATCTTCTTAGATAATGTATTAAATGGCGATCTTAACTAAATTATCTTGGGCTGCTTTTATTTTATATATGTAACAGGCCTGAAGCAAGCAATTTCAGTGGGGGGAGGGGGGGGGCACAACTAAAAGTTTAGAGTCACCACCAAACAATTTTCTTGGAAAGCCAAAATGAAAGTTTTTATTGAGGGGGCACAAGTATACAGTAGCTAAGTTATCTTAATAACGGTATTACATTGTTTATTTATCGACTTCATTATTGGGGGGGGGGGGCTTATCCCCAACCCCCAACCCCGTTCTTATTTACAACCGTGTGTACATTTAAATCTGTTTATATGTGTGGATTATAAAAAAAAGCTGAAAATATGCATTTATGTAGGACGGTGCATTTTTGTTAATGAAGTTCTATTCTTTGTCTTAAAGTTTTGCACCACTATGTCATTGTTTGTTAACCATGCATTATTCGTCAAAATATAAAATTAGAAGTAACATTTTATTCTTTTGACCACACACAGAGTTATTTTGACCGAAGGTCCAATATACATATAAAAACTATAATCGAAATTATAACTTGCTTCATTAGTAAGAAAAAATATACATTCACCATCCTGTTATAAAATAAAAAAAAGATAGATTCCAGAATACCGACAATAATATACACCCGTATAGACTTTTCAAAGTGTGAATAATATGAAAACGAAGTTGTCACTTAGTTGTCATGGCACCCTGCAAAAGTATGTCCACACATATGCTTATCACAAGTGCTTGTAGACCAAACAACTTCCCCACCCCCACCCCCAATATACATACCGGGTCCCAAGATATACATATTTGTCTTCTTTCATAAAACCGTCTTGTACATATTTACAATGTATTTATGAAAAATCCAAAAAAGTATAAAGAATTCACTTTTTATTTTTTAAAAAATCATGCCTTTTTATCAGCAGATATCAATCTTGTGTGTTGTAAATTGTACGTAAATGTTATAAATGAAAGAAAGCCAAACAAAATCTTTGGACCCGGATTTATATATATTCCAGGGGTTTGGGGAGGGGGGATAGGTCCTATGATGGCATGCTAATATGGAACTCGCTCTCAGATATCTTAAATTATGTCAAAAACACAATTCGCTAAACTTCCATTTTTGCCCCCCCCCCTTCCTGAAAGTTGGGGGTATTAATTTCGGTCTGCCCGTCCGTCTTATAATTCTGTCCGTTTGTTACACTTTTGTTTCGAGCAATATCTCGGGAAGCTTTGGGTTTGAGATGTTAAGAGGGGTGGGGGGGGTGTCCAGTCCACTAGCACCCGTGAGAATTATATGAAGATTTTTAAGATACATGTTTGTAAAAAGAAGCTTTATCAACCGAAAAATTACGAATGGGCATCCAGTTGGATTTATAATTTGGCTATAATACCTATGTATTCAGGCACGTAGCATCGCTTTTGAAAGTGTGGGGGGGGGGGGGGTAACCAGAGAAAATTTTTTTTAACTAACCTGAAAAAGTTGACGAGTACGAAAGCCAATTAGGATCAATCTAGAAAGAGAAAAAAATTTAAAAAGGCGTTATAACGCCTTTTAAAAGGCGTTATTACGCCTTTCCATTCCAAAAGGCGTTATAACGCCTTTCTAAAAGGCGTTATTACGCCTTTCCTAAAGGCGTTATTTCGCCTTTCTAAAGGGAGTTATTACGCCTTTCTAAAAGACGTTATTTCGCCTTTTAAAAAGGCATTATTACGCCTTTCCAAAAAAACTCTTTTTCAATAACCATTATTTTGCATTTAACAGGCATGTGCTTTTAATCCCCCCCCCCCCCCCAACACCACCACCACCCTCACTCTACTGGCCAAACTTGGGACTTATCGGTAAAACTTTGTTTAAATGCAATAATTTGCCACAGTTTTACACACTACAACAAAATTTTCCGGAACCAAGCACCCAATAGTTAATTATGATATCTAAACTATAGCACTGAGGACTTTTCCCAAAAAGTGTGTATGTGAAGAGGGGGGGGGGGGTTACCCCATTCGCACTCGTACTACTGGCTTACTTTAAAAGGAAAATAGAAAGGCGTTATTTTATGTTAATAAATATTATATGAAAAATTTAATTAAAAATATCTTTATTTATTCAATTCTCTATATTCCTGCACATCTTTCTGACAACTGTTTGCATTCGTATTAAAGTGCGGGTCTGGGGTATAAATAGCAGCCAATGAGAAAAATGGAGGAAATTTCAACTTTCTTGCCACTCTTCACTTCGCAGGAGATTTTTTTGAAATTATATCTATACCGTCAATATACACCTTCCGAAAGTTGTTGAGTCATCTAACTAAGTTATCAGATGTGTTTGGGTGATTAAAATACAGTGTAAAAAAAATTAATACAGTCTATAATATTCATTTAAAATTCTGAGGCGATCGAAATTTCAAATTTCTTTGGAGTTTGATGGACAGCTGCTGAATGTTTACATTTACACCGGAAATGCTCGTCGCTATTGACGCATGCTAAAATGGCCGCCATATTCTTACCTCAAAAGAAAGACAAAGATACTCCGAAAATAATCCTCACTCCTTTTTATTATCCTTTCCTCGAGTAATAAATAAGAATCAAAGCCCGTGATTAGATCATAGAGAGTGTAAACAATTATCACTTTGGGTCAGTCATGCTGTTTCAGTCACTTAGTGAAGCATCACATCGGCGAGATAACAAGGATTATCAGCGTGAACACGTGTCTGTGGCTGCCAGAAGGTTAGACCCAGTAAACAATCAAATAAAAAATGGAAAACAAAATAAAAGAAAATATCACAATTATTAAGTCACACTATTAAAAAAGAAATCTTGGACATTTTTTTCTTTTAGTTCCAACGATGCCCCATGTATGGCTTATTTTTTGGATTAGGAAACCAATACCTTACAAGTTCTAATACACATTCTGGTAAAATATCTCGACGATGGCACACAGTGTTTCGTAATCTTGGATCGTTGAGTAAAGCAGTTCTTTTCCTAGCTATATATCTTTCATCCAAAAACACACCTCTATGGAAAAGCATAGTCCAAAAGAATTTGTACCTTTCTTTTCTAAGGGAACTGTTCCGTATGTTTGGTGGCAAAGGTTCCGAT